CATAAAACACCAAACAGGTATATCGTCTGCCCCCCCCCCATAATTGTCATCGCCTTCGCTGGCCCATTTTCGTCCAAAATTTCCCAACCGCATAATTGCCAATTTTTTTCTTCCCCCACTCTATTATTATTACTTTCTCCTTCCCTTTACCTTTCTCTCCTCTCTCTCTCTCTCTCTCTCTCTCTCTCTCTCTCTCTCTCTCTCTCTCTCTCTCTCTCTCTCTCTCTCTTCTCTCTCTCTCTCTCTCTCTTTCTCTCTTTCTCTCTTTCTCTCTTTCTCTTTCTCTTTCTTCTCTTTCTCTTTCTCTCTTTCTCTTTCTCTCTCTTTTCTCTCTCTTTCTCTCTCTTTCTCTCTTTCTCTCTCTCTTCTCTCTCTTTCTCTCTCTTCTCTCTCTCTCTCTCTCTCTCTCTCTCTCTCTCTCTCTCTCTCTCTCTCTCTCTCTCTCTCTCTCTCTCTCTCTCTCTCTCTCTCTCTCTCTCTCTCTCTCTCTCTCTTTTCCTTCCCCCTATACTTTTACCTCTTGCGTCGCGTTAGATATTTTATTTTTGTCTTTATTCTTCATTTTTTTTAAAATGAAAGTCAGTACAGTAATAAAGGAATAAAGTTGATAAGAAAATCTGACGTCAAGTTTTGAGCATAATGGGTCTTTATCGACTATAATTGATTTTTATGCGCACGATGAGTTGGAAGTCTTTATTCTTCGTTTGTTGTGGTCCTGCTTCTCTTTTTTCTCTTTTGTGTCTTGTTCTATTCTTGTTTTTTTTTTATTACGGACTAAAATTCTCGTTTTTTTTATCAACTTGTTTTGGAATGAAAGTCAGTGTGTATTCTGGCGAAGATGTATACTCGAAACCGTCAAATACATCTCTTGTATGTGGAGATATTCGTTCTCATTCATACATTTTTATATTTTATTTATTCATAAATTTTTTTTTTATTATTTTAATATTTAAGATATTCGTTCTCATTTCTACGTTTTTCTACGTTTGTCAACATGAATACGGTTCATTGTCTTTCTTCATTGAAAGTTGAATTGAATTATTTACCTTCTACACTATGTGTTATTTTCATAATTTCCGGTCTAGTTTGCATTATTACAACGGATATAATTTAAATTACTAGCGAACAATAACAGAAACAATAACAAGGTGATCATATGGCAGTAGACAATGAGATCTTAGGCCAAGACGGGACAAATTGACCTGATCTGACCTCTTGTGACACCTGGTGGGCGGAGAGTGGCTGGCCAGGTCAGAGGTCAGAGACAAAGGGTCGATGAGTATGCTCTCCACGTTCCCGCGCGGTCGTGGTAAATGGTGACCTGGTATGCCCCCCCCCCCCCCCCCCCTCTCTCTCTCTCTCTCTGTCTCCTTCGCGCGCGCTCTCTCCCGCACCGCCGTCGTAGTCCGTGTTTGACCTCGGCCGTGGCGTGACCTGTCTCGGGACTAGGTCGTGCGTGGTGCTGTGTGTGTTTCGGGACTTCGGCGGTTTTGTGCCTCCTGTTTTCTTATATTTTATCTGTTTATCGTTTTTTGGATTGCGTCTTTCTTCTCGTCCTGGGAAGATGGTGGTCCGGGAGTGGACTCGAGAGGTGAGAAAATGTTTTTTTCTTTCTTTCTTTCTTTTTTTTGTGTGTGTTTTTGTTGTCCCTTTCATCTCTTCCCTCCTTCCCCTTCCCCTCCTTCTCTTTTTATCATCACCTACCGCGTCTCCCCCCTTTTTTCTCCTGCTCTTTTCCCCCCTTTTTGGTACTATGCTATTAGCAAATGTATTTTTTTTATATATGTGTGTATGTATGTGCGCGGCCGTTCTATCTGTGTTCCTCGCCGGTCGCTCTTTGTGGGGTGGCCGGAGCTAAAGGGTTTTATTGCCCCGGCGTGGAGGAAATTCGGTCTGCCTTTCGGGAGGAGGAGGACGTGGAGAGAGAATCGCGTGGAGGTTTATTCCGTCTTGCTTTTGGTTGTTTTATCTTCAGAGTGGCGTGAGAGTCTTGCTTTGGTTGTTTTATCTTCAGAGAGTGTGGAGTTTATCTTCAGAGTGGCGTGAGTGTGGAGGTTTATTCCGTCTTGCTTTTGGTTGTTTTATCTTCAGAGTGGCGTGAGTGTGGAGGTTTATTCCGTCTTGCTTTTGGTTGTTTTATCTGCAGAGTGGCGTTGAGGATTCGGGTTTGGTTTTTTTTTAGAATTTTGTTTTTTGTTTGTTTTTGTTTGGGTTTTGAGTAGTTGAGGACGGGGTGATTTGTTTTTAGCTAAGGGGAGTCTGTTGATGTTAGTTAAACCCCTGTGGTGTTATGATCGCCGTCTTTCGCACCCAAGTGTTGCACGTGGACGAGGGTTGAGCGGGGGGGGTTAGGGCAGGGGGTGAAGGTAAGGGAAGGAATGGGGGGAGTGGGAAGGGCTCGCCTCCGGGTGCTTCTCTGTGAATAACTTATGGAGGTGTCGTGGGTAAAAAAGCCCCCCCCCCCCCTGCAGCTTTTCGTGGTGTCCTCCGCCTGTTGGGAAGGAGCGAGGGGTGTGGGTCTTGTCACTTTCCTTTCTGTCTCTTCTCTCTCTCTCTCTCTCTCTCTCTCTCTCTCTCTCTCTCTCTCTCTCTCTCTCTCTCTCTCTCTCTCTCTCTCTCTCTCTCTCTCTCTCTCTTCTCCTTTCCTTTCCTTTTGCTTCGCTTTTCTATTTGATTTTTATTTCTTTTCTGTTTAGTTTTCTCTTCTCTTTTTCCTTGTCATCTCTCTCTCTCTCTATCTATCTATCTGTCTATCTATCTAACTTTGTCTATCTATCTATCTATCCATCCATCCATCCATCCATCCATCTATCTATCTGTATCTATCTTTATCTATATCTATCTGTATCTCTCTCTCCCCCTCCCCCCTCCCTCCCTCCCTCATCTGCATATTGCCAAGGTCAGCGCGGTACCGTCGGCCTAATGGTGATGGCCGGAGAGTATTGACTTTCTCTTCGTTCGTATTTGGGATTTTTTTGGGGGTGGGGGGTAAGGGGGCGATGATGATTAATTGATTCTGGAGGGAGGGAGGGAGAGAGGAGGGAGGAGGGAGGAGGAGGAGGAGAGAGAGAGGTGAGGGAGGGAGGAGGAGGAGAGGAGAGAGGCGGTCGCTTCGTTTTTTTTCGAGTTTTATATTTCGATCTTTCGTTCTCTATCGTTCTATGGCTGTTTTTTTTAATCTGTAGTTTTTATATATTGTCTTATTTTCTTTGTCAGGTGGTGTTGTTATTATTATTATTGTTATATATTATTTATTTTTATTTTTATTTGTGTGTTGTGTGTGTGTGTGTGTGTGTGTGTGTGTGTGTGTGTGTGTGTGTGTGTGTGTGTGTGTACTGTACTTATGTGCGCGCGCTTGTACCTTCAAGGTCAGATTGATTCCAGGCGCCTTTATCGGCGTGAGTGTGTGCATCCGGCGAATGACTATTGTCTAGTTAGGAGGATTGACTCTCTCTCTCCTCTCTCTCTTCTCTCTCTCTCTCTCTCTCTCCTCTCTCTCTCTCTCTCTCTCTCTCTCTCTCTCTCTCTCTCTTCTCTCTCTCTCTCTTTTTCTTTCCTCTTCCTCCCTCCCTTCCCCTGTCCACCTCTCCTCCCCTTCTCTTCTTCTCCCAGACCCTTTCCCCCCCTCCCTCCCCTCTCCCCCCTGCCTCAACCCTTTCCCACACACCTTTTCCCACGCTTCGAGGCACACCGACATACCAATATGACCCCCCTCGGTGTCTACCCCTCATCTTACCCTCTTCCCCTCATCTTACCCTCTTTCCCTCTCGGCAAAAAAGGGGTGCTGTAACGTGACCTCGATGACCTAGGTCTGTCAGCGGGTTCTCGGCGGCCGTCTCTCGCTCCCGTATTTCGTCTCTGTCGTAACGGAAAGGGTTTTTTGGACGTTCTGGTGTCACGCCCTTGTCAACGGGAGGTCGACCTGCTTTTTTTTTGTTTTGTTGTCTTTCTATGTTTCTTTTTGGTGTTCTCGGAGGTCTTGGTCGGGGATTTGGGGGGGGAGGTGTTTGTGGTTCCGTCGAGTGGTTCGAAGTATTGTTTCGTTTGTTTTGGAGTGGAATGTGGGTGTTATGGTTGGTGGCGGGGGGGGGGGGTGGGGGGGAGGAGGGGTGATGGAGGGGGGAGTTTGGGGTGGAGTTTTTCATGGTTATGATTTAATGGAGGTTGATGGCATCTAGACGAGCGGTGCTCCGTGTGCGGGATGCGTCATCATGAGTATAGGACACTTTGGGTTGCTTCTTTTTCTTGTTCTTTGTTCTTTTTCTTCTTCTCTTTTCTTGCTTCTTGATTGTTGTCTTCTGTCTCTTCTTTTATCTATTTTTTTCTTCTGTCTTTTTTTCTTTTTCTTCTTCCTTACTGTCTTTTCTCTTTTTCTTCTCTTTCTTTATGTATTCGTCTTTTGTGCATGATTTATTTTCCGAAATTTTTTTTTTTTTTATTCAATTTCCTCGATTCCTCCTCGGATGTAGGGGCTGGGGGGAACGTTACGTAATTCGACTGCCGAGTAACGAGCAGGAACGGACGTCAGTTCTCATCGCTTGGGAAGCTTTTGGGGTGTTGTGTGGGTTTTGTTCGGGTTGTCTTTTTTATTTTTTTCTTTCATTATTTTTTTCTGGGTCTTTCCTTTTTTTTTTTTTTTTTTTCTCATATTTTTGTGTTTTTTTTTTTTTGAGATGTTTTAGTATCTTGTCTTTTTTTTTTTTTTTATTTCTTCCCTTTTTTTTTTTTTTGTTTTTTGCGTGGTCTTTTATTTTTACCTGATCCCCACACCCCCGACCCTGCTCTTTATCTATATCTGGGGGCTGGGGAGGGCTTTGGCTCTCTTTTTTTTTTTCTTTTTTCTCTTTTTTTTTTTTTATTTTTTTTTTTCTTTTTTTTTTTTATTTTTTTTTTCTTTTTTCCCTTTTTCTTCTTCTTTTCTCTTCTTTTTCTTTTTTTTTTTTTCTCTTTTTTACTTTTTTTCTTTCCTTCTTCCTTTTTTTTTTTTCTTGTGCTCTCGGTTCTGCCGTGGTTCTTTCTCTTCGACTTCTCTCTTCTCCCTTCTTCTGGCTCTCTGCGGTTTTCTCTTCTTCTATTCTTAATCTTGCTTTCCTCTCTCTCTTTCTGTCTCTTCTCATCTCTCTCTACTCTCTCTCTCTTCTCTCATCTCTCTCTCTCTCTCTCTCTCTCTACTCTCTCATCTTCTCTCTCTCCTCTCTCTCTCTCTGCTGCTGCTCTGAGGTGGCCAAGCATTTGTGGTGTAGGGCCATTGTGCATGTTTGTGTGTTCTATGGGTTTAATCTGTATATGTGATTTTTGTCTTTCGTGTGTTCTTTATCCGTCGGTGTTATTGGAATGTCGTATGTTGCGCGTTGGTGCTTTGTGGGTAGATGCGGATGATGGAGGGATGCGTTTGTGTCCTGTTATGCTGTTGTCGTGGCGCGTGTGGGCGTTTTATGGGGGGGGGGAGTGGGGGAGGTGTGGGGGGGGGGGGGTGGGGGGGGGCTTTTGGGAGGGGGGGAGGAGGGGGGTTTTTATTAGGGGCGGTTTCATTTTTTGATGTAGGGGGGTGTGGGATGTGCGTGTGAATATGGTCTGTTTGTTGCTAGGGGGGGTGTGGGGTGGGGTGTGGGGAGGGAGGGGGTGTAGTGAGGGCGATGTTTTTTGGGGCGGTCGTGTGTGCGTGTCCTTTTTTGGGGCGAAGGGGGGGAGGATGGTTGGGGGGGGGATGGGCCGTGGTGGATGGTTGGGGGTGTCATGGTGGTCCTTTGTTGCGTGGGACTGTGTGCGCGTGTCCTTTTTGCGTTCACTGTTACGCGTGTCTTTTTTCTGCGAGTGTTTTTCGCGAGTGTGTCTGTTGGCGCGCGGTGCGATGGCAGCAGGGCGCCGGCCGGCGAGGGGAGGCAGGCGCGTGCCACCCGACGGGGTAGAACCGCCAGGGGGGGGCGAGCTCAAGCCGAGGGGCATGAGCTCGAGGAGGCCGCGCGCCAACTGTCACACACTTCATTGTTCTGTCCTGTTCTCCGTGTTGGTTGGCGCGCAAACGCTGGGTTTGGAGAAAGGAGGGTAGAGGGGGGTGGGGGTGAGGAAGGGGTGGGGGGGGGAGGAGGGGAAGAAGGAAGAGGACTGGTAGGGGTGGGGGGGGGGGGAGGGGGTAAAGAGGGAGGAAGATAGAGAAGAAGATGTGAGGGAGGAGAGTGATTGAGGATGAGTATGAATTGATGAGTGAGAAGGCGAGAGGATCTGATGTGTGGAAGGGAGAAGGTGAGAGGCTCGGGTGGGTAAGATAAGGTCAATGCAGCGAAATCTTGAACAGATTCCTGTGGCTGATGGTGCGAGATAGGAGGTCGCTCGCGGCGAGGCTTTCGCGAGAAGGGCCGCCGTGCTCCGGGATTGCGTCTCTCATGCTCAGGCTCTCTGTTCATCTCTCTGTTACTCTCTTTGGCCTCTCTTCTCTATCTCGTCAGGTCGTGCGCTCTTCTCGTCTCGTGTGCTTCTGCTGCTCGTGCTCTCATCTCTCTCGTGCCTCTCCTCTCCCTCCCCTCTCCCATTCCCTTCTCTCTCTCGTCTCTCTGCTCTCTCTCTCTGCTCTCCGTTCTCGCTGCTTGCTCT